TGTACCCCCATGTGTTTCTGAGACAAGGGCAAAGGGAGTGCTTTCCATAAGCCAAGTAATGCAAGCAAAGGTACAGAAACTGCCACCAACAGGAGCAGGTGACCCATTGTGTGGTTCAAAGTAGAACTAATAAAATACAGTACTTGATGGAAAAAAGCTACATCTATAAACAGACATGAGCTCTGTGTATACATGTGTATTAACATATAAATCCATCTTCAGCTAAACTGATATATACCAGACAGTTAGTAGTAGTTACTTAAGCTGGCCACAGTGGCTGACACCTGCAATCCTAGCTAAGGAGGCAGAAATCGGGAGGATCACAGTTCCAGGCCAGCCTGGGCAGAAGTTGGAAAGACCCCCGTGTCAACAGAAAAAGATGGGCATGGTGGGTGCACACCTATCTATCATCTCAGCTACAGGTTAGGAGGATCGCGGTCTAGGCCAGCCCATATAAAAAGTTGAAACCTTATCTCAAAAAAAAAACCCAGAACAAAAAGGGCCAGAGATGTGGCTCAAGTGGTAGAGCACTTGCCTTGCAAGCACAGGCCCTGAATTCAAACCCCAGTATCACAAATAATAATAATAATAATAGTTTTTTAAAGAAGTAGTTACTTAGGGAAAGGAAGACAAATGTAAAAGGCAAAGAACGAGTTTAATGTTTCACTCTCATTTCTTCTACTGTGTTTGAATTCTGTATAATGAGCATAACTATTTTGGTAATGTTTTTAATTTGAAATGACAACAAAATAATATCTGGGCCATGTTGAGTGGGCTTACTCCCACTAGACAAGGGATTCTCAACCAGGGTCAAGGTGGTCGCGTCTAGAGACATTTTTTGGTTGTCATGTCCAGAACCAGGGATGCTTCAGCAATGCATAGGACAGTCCCCCACAACAAAAAACTATCCAGTCCAAAATGTCAACAGCACCACTGCTGAGAAACCCTGCACTACACTCACCCCATTCCTGTAGATACCCATGGAAACACACGCAATCCTACCTCAATTAGGCATTTGCTGTCCTTCTATGTGGCTACCCTGACACCAGAGCCAACTGAGTATGCCAAATAATTTAAACATCAAGCAAATGATTTGACAAGCAAATGTTGCATCTTCAAAGTACCTGGCTGCTCTCCCAACAAATTTTTAAAGATACTCTCCAGCCTCCAAGTGAGCAGATTCTTTTATGACCATTAACATGGAAGAAGAGGCATACGCGCGCGCGCGCGCGCACACACACACACACACACACACACACACACACACACACAGGAGGCACCATCTTTTAAAACAGTATCTCCCTAGTTGTCAGATAGAGGCACTGGCCAAAAAAAAACCCTACAAACTGCAGTTAGGATGGCCCAAGCAGTTCCAAAATATCTCCACCAGAAAAAAAAAAAGGACAGGGGGGTGGAGAGCAAAGAAGAAAACTCAACAACCAAAAATAGATTTGTCCCTGGGGCTGTCCCATAGCTAAAAACAGTTCCCTCACTCCAAGATGCATCCATGGCATATAACGTCTCTTAATTTTTACTTATAAGATAAAATAAACATGTAAGTAAAGGGGGAAAATATAAATACAGAGCTTAATGAATAAAAATAGATGCCCTCAAGGGGTTCATACCACTTAGGTCAAGCAATAGAGCCTTGGCCTGCAGCGTCCTTCCACCGAGCTTCCCCCCATGTACACAGCAAAAAAACCAGGGTTATTGTGACAAACCACCATCTTCACTCAAGGGTCAAGACTTACTCTATACACCATGAACACCCACATATCCTGATGCCTCTGTCGAATATATTCACAGCAGGGACCAGGGACCACAAAAAGCAGTTTGGGGAGGAGGGTGTTGATGGGACAATCTCATGGACTGTGTTAGTTCACAAAAGCACCTGGGAGGAGAGGCATAACACACTGCACAGGAAGCTGGGGACAGTGGGAGAAGCCCAGGTAGGGACCAGGAGAGGCCTGAGTCAGAATCTAGGCGTCAACCCTTACCATGGTGTCCTGGGAGTTACTGATCATTCCCAAACCAAAAAATGACATTCTGCCACGTGATCTCCTTGGAAAAAGTTAAGGAGCTCATGTGTTATCCATGGCACGGGAAACACCCCACCCACAGGAGATACCACAAATCTTGAGTTGCCTCCCCTCCTCCACCTCTGCAAATGGGCAAGGTAAGAAGGGCACCCAAGTCTTCCATGCAAAATTATTGAACCGTAAGTGTTCCTAATCCCCCAGATTCTCTAAACTACTTTACAAAAGTGACAATACAAGTCCAGTGTCAATTTATTCTGACAACTTTGGCCAAAAGTTATCTAACCCTGTGTCCAGGGCCCAGAATCAGCCACCCTGTCCTCCCCCACTCATATAGAGGTACGTGGCCTAGTGGGCTGTCGGGAAAAAACAGCTTACACCCCAGGTGGCAGCCCCAGTCACATCTCTTTGAAGATGAATAGCAACAAGGTATGTTTATTTGTACTTCCATGCACAGCCTCATCTACCAGGGCTGGGCTACGCTGGGTTGTGCTCAGCTACTCAGCTAGTTACAAAATAAATACAACCCACCCTCACGCCATGAAGCAGATATTTCCAGGAGAAAAGGTCAATCAACACCCACAACTCCTGGGAGGACACAAGGGAAAATGGTACACTTTCACTGACAGGCAGAGAAAGCCAGGGAGTCCAGCTCAGGAGGGAAGAAGACTGACCACCCACCATCCAGCATGGCCACCATTACTACTGACCCAAGACTCATGTGTTTAAATCCACCGGGTCCACCCAATGGCCAGACAGCTGTGACATGGGCTGATCCTCTAGCAGGATACATTAAAAAATAACAACAGCCAAAATCAATGCTTCACTTCCCTAACATAAACAATAAAAAACAAAGGAAGAAAAAAGCACACATAAGGTGTCTGAGACACTTCCTGAACGACAAAGAACTTTGAATGGGACTAGGGCTCAAACTCTGACCCCCAGGTCGTGTTCGTTCACAGACTATCAAGAGGAGGCAGAAATCTGAAGTTCTGGCTTTTTATATTGGCTCTTGTTTTATCAACTTTCCAGAAGAGGACTGAGGTGTGGAATATGGGATAGAAGGGTAAAGGTCAGGCTGTGAACTCCAGAATTAGAAAAACTGACCAGCCCTGTTTGCAACAACATTTGGGTCAAATGGGATTCATGCTTAAGAGAGAATGACACTTCATGTAACATGAAAATGTACACACTCCAGCCCACCTAGAGGTTTCTAGCATAGCAACCATATAGGCAACCCAAACACCAGGGATAATGACCAAGTTCCATCAGGGACATGACCTGTTCCTCCCCTCCCTCATTATGACAATTTTGCTTGTTAGGCCCATGTTACATCTATACATAATACTAAATAACCATTGCTCACCAGGGAGAGATAGGACTAACCCTACAACTTTTGAGAGACTCAACTTGAGCAACCCACTAGGACTGAGAGATGCCATGAATGTCCACTGGCCCACCAGCAGCTGGACACACACAAAATCAGCCTCCAGACTATCTTTCTTGGGTGTTATCTGGGGACAATTCAGAGCTATGTGAGTTGAGTGTGTGTGAATCCAGGCAGGTCTTCATAGCTAAGATGTCCTAAAAATGGGCCTGTTCTGACAGCCCTCAAATACTTCACACCTGCTCACTGCTGCCCAGTAGCCTCTTGGAACTCTCACCGCAGGGTGGTGGACAGGGGAAATAGCAAATGGACCAGACCTGAACCTACAAGAGAGCCTAGCCCCTCGCTGCAAACCCAGCAAACCCACGATACTTAAATGAAATCTTAGAGAAGTGGGGATGATGTCATCGGGGAGGGGCTGGCCAGTGGATTTTGAGGATGCTCAGAATTGGAGATGGGGTGGGGGGGTGTCCTTTAAAAGCAGCGGCCTCCGCAAGGGACAGCACAGAATAAAGTGTGTGAACTTCCCCACCAAACAAACCACTAGAGACACTTCGGGAGGCAAGTTGCTAGAAGCGTTTTGGAGAATAAAACATAAATTAGACATGTGGATGGCACAAACGCCAGGCAAACAAGTTTCTGCTGAAGAAAGTTCACTGGGCCCTGTCACCCACTTTCTGGGCATCGGCTGCCCAGAAATAAACATCAGGGGGCCAAGAGCGACTCAGCCAAGGAGGGGTAGCTGACAGCTGTGTCGGACAGGCAGGGGCAGAGAGGAAGGGCTCCAGGCTGGAATTCGGAGCGTGCCCACATCAGCAGAAAAGTTCCAGGGAACAGCACGCGGTCTGGGAAAGGAAGAAGGCTGGGCTCTCCGACTCCCAGGATGCATGCGTTGTATGTGATGCCCAGGCTGATGGCGGTCAATGAAGTCCCTGGTCCTCTCCAGCTACCCGGCACCCGCAGATCTGGACGCACGCTGAAATAAGGGTTCTGCTCGCAGGATCAGTGGAGAAAACTAATAATCCCCATGTCAGCCATGCTCCATCTCACTATGCCCAAACCAAACACAGTCCCAGGCAAGAATGGAAGGAAGCGGCGATGCTACTTGTCCCGTGCGCGCTGCAAGTGGGGAAACTGAAGCTTGAGCGTCCACGCCAGACACTGGGCCAGAGAGCCTAGGTAAGCTGGCGAGGCTGGGAGCGCCCAGGCATCCGGGAAGACGAGCACAGGGAGCGTTCTCTCTCTGCCCCTCCCCTGCTCAGTTCCCCCCATACTGGACACACTCAGATACACGAGCTACGCCCAATCGGGGCAGTGGCCGGGCTCCCCAGACCCGGGCTGCACACAAAGCCCCGCCCGCGCACACACACAACACCGCCACCGGCGCGCTCGCCCACACAATAGCACGGCGCGCACCCCGCCGCGGCCCCTCGCGGGGTCCCGGCCAGCCCGGCGCCGGGGTCCGCCCTCCGTGCACACCCACGCCCGCAGCCGCGGCCCACGCGCGGGGAGGGGGCGATCGAAGCCAGCCACGGTGCCCCGCGCCCCGAGAACTTCGCTGCGCGCCCCCCACTCACCCGCGGCGCTGCTCAGCAGCAGGCACAGCGGCCCCAGCAGCCACATGGCGTGGCCGCAGCTCCGCTGCCCGGCGCCGTCGCTGCCCCCGCGGCCTCAGCGCTGACCCCGCCCCTCTGCGCCGGCCCCGCCCTCTCGCCCGCCCTCCCCCGCCCTCGCCCGCCCGCCCGCCCGGCCCGGCCCGGCCCGGCCCGGCCAGGCTCTGCTCCGCCAAGTTTTGCAAGCGCCTGGCTGCGCGTCGCCGCCTGCGCTCAGTCCCGGAGTCCCAGCTCCGAGGAGCTGCCGAGGGGAGCGCAGAGGATCCGGCCTTCCGGCCTCCCTCTCCCTCCCAGGACCTCGAAACCACCCGGGCTCGGTGATCTGCCTCCGGGTTGTCCCCGATTCCTCCTCCTCCCGCCTCCATCCTCCGAGGATGCGGCGCTCACCACCTTCGTGGACCGCACCTTGAGCTCTTTCCTGAACTACGAAAGGAGTAGTACTCCAGGGAGGAAAAAGAAAGTTGGAACAAAGAGCAGCCAGTGCTTATGAGAAAATAGGTAGTTTATTTTTAGTAGCGACTGTGGAATACAATCAGTGCTTCTCAAACTTTAAGATGCATCAGACACACTCGCAGACTGTGTTAAAATACTGGCTCTGCCCGGGCACATCTGACACAGGGTTGGAGAGAGAATTTCTGACAAGTTGGGGAGCGATCCAGAGGCTGATGGTCCCTGAGGCGCAGGTGGAATAGAGACACTAACGCCCCCACGGACCCCGAGTTAGCCACGTGAGTTATTTTGTCTGCCTGGTACTCACTTTGACCCACAGAAAGTTTGGTCCCCAATTTGCAGAAAAGGAATGTAAATGCAAAGGCAGACACACCTAGATGCAAAAAACCCAGCTGCTCCAGGGCAGACACAGCTGGTGAGTGGTCCCAGAGGGGTTATATGATTGAAGCATGCGTAGAACAACGCCCCAGCCTCAAAAAAAAAAAAAGAAAAGAAAAGAAAACTATGCAAATACTGTAACTGTCAAAAGCTGAAAAACAACAACTCAACTGTCCATTAACTGGCGAATGGATAAACAAATTGTAATAGATCGCTTAATGCAACCGTAAGGATGAATCCCCAAAGCATGCTAAAAGAAAGAATTCAGCTCCAAAGAGCCCCATTCTTGTATTATTTCATTTATAAGACGAGTGGGGAGAGACACAAAATTTGGGGACCTGAAACCAGAACAGGAGTTACCAATTTGGGGAGGAGCTAGAACAAAGGACAATGGGGCTGTTTGACATCTTTAATATAGTAGTTGGGGGACTGTCCACATTTGTCAAAATTTATAGAACTGCATCCTACTTATAGAGCTGCCTACCCCCAAAGAGTGTGACATTTACTGTAAGCAGGGGTGTGGGTACTGGGACTGATTATTTGTGAGTGGGTTTTTGAAGGGATGCCTGCATCAGACCTGTGTGCATTCCATCCAGCCTCAAGATTGCTGAGACTCAATGTCATTACTTTTTAATTGCCTGCTCTAAACTGAACACATGAAGGCTAAAGTGGATCAGGTCAAAATGTAAAAATATTAATGATGTTTCAAGGTAACAAGAAAATGTGATAATGATGGAGAATTCAGCAAAAAATTTCCATTTTACAAAGTAGATGGTCAAGTGTGGAAAATATAAATAAATTCTCCAGAAGCCTTAGCATTCTCCTGTTTTCTCCTGGGATCCATGGACACTACAAAGACCATCCCATGAGTTTCAGGGAGTTTTAAAGCCCCTAAAAAATATGTATGCAAAATTTCCAGTGTTTTGTGGGTATAGGCATTTTTCCAAAAAGCATAAAGGGAAGAGGCCCCTTACCTTTGGTAATGATGCCAAAGAAGACAAGTAATTTCTCCTGTGCCTGCTCATTTGCCCCCAAATATTAGGACTATGGGAAGACAATGGACCCACCCAGGGCTGTCTTCTTGTTTCCTTGGGTTCCTTTGTGCACATGCACTTCAACTCTGGGAATGATTTAGTGTAGGTGCTTTACTGTCCACATTCCCCACCCCCCACACCCCCACCACACACACACCTGGCTGTTACCATGTTCTAAACTGCTCTATGGAAAAGTTCATGTGGAAAAGAACTGTAAAGGCTTCCAGCCAACAACCAGTGAAGAACTATAGCCCTCAGTCCAACATCCCACAGAGAACTGAATCTTGCCAGCAACCACATAAGTAAACTTGAAAACCAATCTTTCCCAGTCAAACCTTCAGATGAGACCACAGCCCTGGCAGAAGTCATGATGACAGCTTCACAAGAGACCTTAAGGCAAATGCACCCAACTAAACCATGTCCAGTTTCCTAACCCAGGAATTATATAGGTTCATTTTTTTTTTCAGCCACAAGTAATTTGTTACATAACAACAGGTAACACAAAGTCTCACAACAGACACTGAATCCAAGAACACTTACTGTGATTGAATCTTACTTACCAACTAGCCTAAGGAACTGTCCTTACGAATGTCTGTTTTAGGCATTGTGTACTTAGGATTATATTAGTCTTCACAACAATCCCTGAGATAAATATTGTATCTCTTTTACACATGCGGGGAGTCTGAGGCTCAGAGTTGGGAGGTGAAGTGTCTGCCTCGATAACAGATTTGAAGCCAGATCCTTCTGATTTCAAAGATTCCCATATGAATCTTTCAAACCACGTACCTACTGCAGCAAAAATGATTCTCATTCATAAAACAATGTATTTGCAGCTTAAAAGACATTGAGTTTACTAGGTTTCAGGCTAGAATCCTAAAGATGCAGAGGACAAGAAACAGAACGTGATTTATTGTATATATAACTCAACTCAGAAAAGTTGTGTGAATGATCTAATTGTTGTAGTCTGTACCCCAAAAAAATTCTGAGCATGAGAGTTCTCCCACCTAGAATTAAAGTCATCCCAGAGCAACCACATATATTTTGTTTGTTTGTTTGTTTAGTTGTCAGACTAATACTACTGGCAACCAACAGAACTCTTGTAATTCATGCTTAATATAGTCACATGCTTGCAGAGGAGAGTTCTGCTGATATTATTAATGAAAATTTTGCACCATCTAAAATGATGAGATTTTTACCCCTCACTTTTTAAAAGTGTACTTTGTTATTTATTTTATTGCCTCAGTTTTATTGCTCTGAATGAAGCTATCTAGTTCCTTAAAGGGGTGATTTCTCACCTGTGACCAGTCCTGAAACAAGAGACAATTATTTGAAAAAGGAGTTAACCTGCAGTTTATCAAAAGAAACATTTGGCCAGTTCCCCATTAGAAAGAAAACAAGTGGATTAATTCAAGGTATCAACATGCTTGTGTTCTGTTTCATCACAGAGGGAAGCTGTCACTGGACCACATAGACCTGCAGTATCTAATATGTAGCCCAGAGTTACATCTGGCTGCGTTGAGTGTTTGAGCTGTGGCTCTTCTGAATGGTGATATGCTCTAAAGCTAACATGCAAATTGGATTCAAAGATTGAATGCAAAAAAAAAAAGAATGTGAACAAATTCAACAGTAGTTACATTGATCACATATTGGAATATAATATTTGAATACATAGACCTAAATAAAATTATGTTCAAATTAACACAACAGGTTTCTTTTTGCCGTTTTGATGTGGCTGCTAGGAAAGTTTAGATTTCACTAGGTGGCTTACATGTGGGGCTCTCCATGTATTCCTTTCTCTGGAACAGCACTGATGGAGGTCATCTCTTATTTTCTGAGTCATCATGTGACCTTTGAGATTCCCAGTCTCCTTAAAGTTCACTGAATTAGAAGGATGTTTTTTTTCCTTCCCAGTTTCTCTCAGACTAATTCTGCCTCAAAGACCTCTCGACCTTAGATTGTACATATCAAAGTCCATTAATATTAAAGTGATTTTAATGTCATCATTTCTGGATTACAAATGTACCACAGGGGTACATTTGTGGGGTGGATAAAATGAATTGGGAAGAAAAAAAAACATTTTTTTTAGAGAAACATGAGCCTGTAGCACTTTGAATTAAGAACATGAGCTGAATAATAAGATCTCCATTTTCAGTGGAGACATTTATACAGTAATTAACTAACAAGCCAGAAGTCTTAAGAGATACTTAGTTAGTGACAAATACCAAAGAATGAGTCCAGTGTCCCTTCCTCCAAGCAACCAACTCATTCATAAACAAATAGGTAGGCAGTAGATCTTAATAAGAGCACTCGAAAAACCCAGGTGGAAGGTAAATAAATTTACATTTTTTAATCTGACATTATGGGAACATTTCCCCTGCACTGTGCGAACTCTGCTTTAATAATTTAAGGTGGTTTTCTCTGTATACCTCAGCCTACTCCTTTTAAACAACTCTTCATTTCAAGCTAGGTTCTTTGGACTTGATTGAGTGTACTGTTTAAAAGCTTAATTCCAGGTGCTGTGTGATTGCCTAATCTGGACTGACCTCGTGTGGGTTTGAGTTCAGTTTAGGAGAGGGGAGGGGCATGTATTTTTTGCAAAACTTTCAGCAAACTGCCACACCCAGAGTGGAAGTACACAAAAGGGACAAGGAAGGGAAACTATTTTACAATTTTCAGGTCCTTTCAATATTCATATAATAAAAACACAATAGAATTATGGGTATTATGGCTTACTTCTTCAGGCATTCATAGCAACTCCTCAAAATAGCTATTTATAGAAATCTGACTAGAAGTCTGCACTCATTTCTACCCTGGACTCCCCACCACCATCAGTCACCAAGATTTGACCTATTGGTGTCTCTTGCTCTCAATCCACCCCTCTCCTTCCCTCTGTCTCCCTCTTACTCAGACTCTCATGTGCCTCGGTTGCTTCGAACTCCTCTTAACTAGCCTTCTCAGAGCTTGTCTTGCTCCCCCTCAAGCTTCTTAAACCCTCCATAACTCCCTGTTGCCCAGAGGGCAAGTTCAGACTTCTTATCTGAGTATCTTCATCATGAGCTGCTGCTGAGGCTGTGATTAGAGGGGTGGAGACAGAGAACATGAAACCAGAGGAGCAGGCTGGAGATTTGTGGGCATGTTAAGGAGTTTAGTGACTAAACTAAACTACCCTATGAGCGAAAAGTCACTGACAGTCAGGTTTGAGCGGGAACATAGTATGAACAGATTTATATAATGGTTACAAACAAAGATTGTGGAGTCAAACTTAATG